CCCGCGGGGGCGGGGGGCAGCGTCAGGGTGTCAGGGGACGGCGGGGTGCTCCCCCACGGGCTGGGGGGCAGCTTTGGGGTGTCAGGGGATGCTGGGGGGCTGCCCCATAGGCCACGGGGCAGCGACAGGCTGTCGGGGGACATCGGGGGGCTGCCCTGCAGGCCGGGGGGTAGCGCCAGCCCCACGCACTGAAGCACAGCCCTGCGATCCAGCAGCGCCGGGGGGCTGCAGCCCACGATGCTCTCGCAGATGCCCACGATGTGCTGGCACTGCGGGTGACAGCGGGGGGGCTAAGGGGGGGCCCTGGCAACACTGGGCCCCCCCCATGCCTGCCATCCCCTCCTCACCCAGCACTTACAATCCACAGGATCCGGCTGTCCCTCTCAGCTGCAGGACAATCCTGCGGGGGGGGGGGACAGGACATGGGGCTGAGTGGGATGAGATGGCTCAGCCCCCCTTCCATCCCAGTTGAGGGGGGGCCTGCAGGGAAGCCCCTTGTACCACATTCCCCCGACGCCAGCTCTCCCCCTAACTCCAGCAGGCAGAGCTTTGGGGGACAGGAGAGCAGACGGCTGGCTCCCCCCCCATTCCCCCCACTCCGCGCCCATCACCGTGGCCTCGGGGCAGGGCAGCCGCCCTGGGCACCCACCGCCTGCAGCGTCTCTGCCAGCTGGACGCAGAGCAGGACGATGTCCCGGCTGGCCGAAAAGTCATTGAGGGTGGAGAAGAGGTACCTGGAGGTGGGGGGGGGAATGGGACAGAGAGCTCAGCCCCAGGCACGGGGGGCACCCAGCACCCATGGGTGCCCCCACCCGCCCCGGACCTGTTGAGCCAGGAGAAGAGCCCCTTGGCAGCACCGACCAGGTCGACGATTTGGGCCAGGAGGGTGAGGGGGGGTGGCCGGTGGTCAGCCCCCGCCGGCAGCCCCCCCAGCACCAGGCTCTGGGTGCCCTGCGCCAGCTCCCGCAGCCTCTCCGTCAGCGTCCGCAGGCTGGTGCTCGCCAGCCCTGTGTCCTGGGGCGGGGGGGGACAGGGACATGGGTGCCGGGGTACAGAAGGGCAGTGGGGGTCTCTGGGGTGCCTCC